ACACACACACAGACATTAATGAAGCTATATTTTTCGTCAGTGGATCATCTTTTTGGTTAGCTGCTCATAACTGTTGATTTGGGTCGATTTCAAGTTAATCAGTTGTGGATGCACATACAACAGTAACTTTGAGTTTTATTAAAATCCATCCAGCAGTTCATTTACAGATGTTTTGGTAACACACACTTTTGTTCTTCTATCCTCATGGGGACTTTGCATTGACTTCCATTCTTTTACCGGTTGTTTCTAAATCCTAACCCTGACACCTTTCCCTAAACCTAACCACCCCAGTACATACCTGACCCAGAATCTAGCCTAAACTCAATCCCAAACCTAACCCCTGACCCACCAATGGTGTTTCCTCTTGTCCCCATTAGGAACAGTGGGTCCTCATCAGGATGTTTACCAGGAAAATAGTAAAACATTGTCCCCATCAGGTAGAAAAAACGTGTACGTACACAAACACAAGCAAACAGTATGACATTATGACCATTCAGGTGTTAATTACACCAATATAGGAAGCATAAGAAGCATAAACCAGGCTTCCGGTTTACTGCCCAGCTGATTACAGTTTATCTCAAATAAAAAGAACCTGAATACAAAACAGTACCGGTGTGTGCGGGGGCTCAAGGTTCAGGCTGCTTTTATCAGAGGTGATTGTGGCAATYCTGGTCAAAACGACAGAGTCCTTTCTCCCCCACATGTCTCCGTTATGAACGTAGTTTTCCTGAGTTGCATCAGTAGGAGTGAAGTGGCTGTGGCCATGCTTGAAAAACAGACAGAAGCATCGGTTTTAGAGATCCTCATCTGCACTCTGGAAAGTTCCTTTCTAAATCAGATTTTCAGTCACTGTTAAATATAAACTGTTCATACCTCGTCATTGACAACAGCTCTTTATTATGAAAGGAAAGACTAAATGTTTAAACCAGGTCAAACACGATTTTTAAAACTTATACAAGGTCACTTTAAAATGGTTGAGATGTAGAGCATAAGCAGAAAAGGAATCCGTGTTGTTTTTCCTCTTTGGGTATCACATAAACAGCCAAGTGATGGAATCCTGTCAGGTGTGTGTGATAGAAAAATGTCTTCATCAGCAGTTCTCTATCAGGCAACACGGTTACTGCAGAAAAAAAGCAGGTCAAGAAAGTCTGTTTTCAATCTTATCTAAGGAATGGGCTAATTTTGAGATCAAATATAATATAGCTCAAGGTTGGTGCTGTGTAAGTCATTTTGACATGAGCAGACTGACGCCAAGATGTTTTGTTTTTCAATTACAAAGTTTAAAGGGATCCATGATCAGTTGTAACATTAGACTTTATTTGATAAACATATATTTTAACTATAAAATAATGACTAAAAATACTG